CACACACACACACACACACACACACACACACACACACACACGCACACACACACACACAATTGTTTTCAATGATTGTTTGCAGAACAGCTGAAACCCTAGTCGAGCAGAGCAAGATTTGCACAGTGAGTTTGGCTGTTCACCATTTGTCGGCAAAATGTTTGTGAAAAATAACTGACTGACAGTTTACACCAAGGACGCCCAAACATTTTCCCCGAGGGGGCCAAAATGAAAATCTATCCAGGGTCTGCGGGCCAAATGCAGTAATATAATACATGAAATACAAATACTTTTTAAGTAAAGTCCTTTATTTTTAACGATTAAGCTATGCAATGGCCCTCTTTTATTTTTGTCTGTGCACTTGGAGAAAGTCTGCCATATGCTCAAGTAGCAAAGGCTCATGGGACGTTTTATAAATTGATAAAATATGAGTTTTGTAGCCTTATAAAGTGTGCAAATCTATATGTGGGGTTAAATCTGATCTAAATATCTCTTGTTGTTACTTCATGTTTCATGTTTAATGTTTAATCCTAATAAATCAAAGATAAGGTCAGCACCATGGATGAAAACTACCTTCACTACAGCCTCTTTATAAAGTCATTTGACCAATGGAAACACTGTGTTTCTACATAGGATGACAGGTTACAACATTGTAACTTTGGCAACTGTTGGTGGACCAAATCAAATGGCTTGGCGGGCCAAATTTGGCCCGCGGGCCCCACTTAGGCTCCTCTGGTCTACACCTTTTTGTGAAGACAGTTGTCATGTATCACTAAAGCGCAGCCTCTGACTGTTCTAAGTTTCTGTTTCTACCAGATCACAGCAAGCAGCAGCTCTGGCATAGGTTACCAGATCACCACCAAAATTTAAAGACTTATTCAGTGTGGCAACCCCAACATGCCCTGAAATTTCATTAAGCTACATCCAAAGTTTTTAGTGTAATCTTGAGCACAGACATACTGAAAACATGACCTCCATGGTGGAGGTAACTAAAACAAACGTTGCCACTTTGCCAGAGAAGCAATGAACGTGATGTAGGGAAGGAAGAGGTTTTGTCTCACGAGATCAGATACGAGCAGAGGCTTCTGGCTCGCTCCGGCTGGTCTTCACCATCCAGACCATCTACATTCCAGGTGATCAAAGAAAGCTTTTCCTCCTCCTCCTCTTTGATGCTTGTTGTTTTATTATCAGCTCCATCAGATCCAGTCTCCACAGCTGAGCAAGACCTGTTTTCTGCAGGGCTCGGTGAGCAGCTGGAGGCCTTTTTCTCTGGTGACTCTTGGCCCTCCATGTTAGTTGAAAAATGTTGGACAGAAGAGAATTGACTGTAGCTGCAGCACAGTCAGACTTTCAGCTGACTCATAAAGGTCACGCCTTAGCTTTCGTTTCGTGAGAAATCACAATGTGACGTCACAGGCAGGTGGGAAAGTCAGCCGGTGTTACGTCGAGCCGCGTTTCCCAGTCAGAAACGGTTTCCCCAGCGTTTTTTTTTTTTTTGCCGCTCCGCCCAAGCTGCTCAAACAACATGTTGCAGCGAAGCTGTCCCACTAAGATAGTTCAATATCTTTATTCTTTATTTGATGTTTATTGTTTATTAATTTTATCTGCTGTAAAACACTTTTGTGCTGATTTTTTTATTCTTATGTGCATTTTTGCAGCTCAAATGTATATGTTTGAAATTATAAATACATTTAAGGTGGGTTGCACTTTATAACATTTATTTATTTATTTATTTATTTATTTATTTATTTATTTATTTATTTATTGAGGTAGAAATTGTGATGAATTTTTTTTTTCATGGAGCAGACATTGCTGCCTGTCTACGCCTATCAATAAAGAGGCTTTCTTCAAAAAAATAAAAAAAAACTAGGGAAACACATCCTGATGGCCCAATAACACCCATCAGATACCGTTCCCCCTGTGTTAAACTGGGGGAACAGTATCTCATGGGTGTTATTGGGCCATCAGTATGTGTTCCCCCCAGTTTAACACTGGGGTAAGTTGGGAACGGTATCTGATGTGTGTTTTGGGGCCATCAGGATGCGTTCCCCCAGTTTAACACAGAGTCATGTAAACCATGTCCATGCCGGTCTCAGACCCTGGTCTCCTGCTCTCTGGTTCAACACCATTGCCCTATTTAAGGCTTGTTCTAATGTGAGCTGCACATTGCATGACAACATGGTGACGGCTTTTTAATACTGAGGAGGTGGAGTCTCACCCGGGGGTTGCTAGGTAAGCGGCTGAACGCAGGTTCCAGTGGGTTGTCGTACGGCTTGTGACATCACAAAATGACAGAAGTATAAAACTTGTCGTTAATATACATTAAAAATACACTTACTTACAGTAAATATGCCCCAGGGTGCATTATTTTTGGTCCTAGGACTGTTTTTTAAAGATGTACATACCCAAAGTTGAGTAAAAAAAACTTTAAAAAGTGAATTTTGCATAATAGGTCCCCTTTAAGTTTTAAAGAGACACCTTACTGCAAGATATCTCGTGAACTAATGACAGGATCATAATGAAACTTTCAGAAAATTTTAAGTGGACTAATATCTTGAATTGATTAACTTTTGGGTTCAATACCACTTAAGATAACCATAAAATCAGGAACTACAAATAAAAAACTACAAAGATGGCTACCAGGAAAATATCGAATTCAACAGTTTCCATTGCAAATGTGCACAAGACTTTGTCGATATTCTGTTAATTTCGAAAAACACATTTTCGCAATTGCAGTGTTTCCAGAAATATTATTAAAGTTACGCGTGAATGCGGTAGTTCTCGCGATAAGTCGTTACAAACATGGTGGCAATGGATGTAAACCAAGGAGGTCCTATATAACAGCTGGAGTGTGCAGAAACCACGTGACCATGTGATCGACTGGTGAAGCTAATGCTAACACAAAATGGTCAAGAGTCTGGATTTCCCATCACTGTACATGTTGACAACAGAGCAGAAAAAAAGGGCTGACGATGTAGAAATCATAAAAACATTAATAATAATATTAACACAATTATTATTAATATTTTACAGTTTATATAATCTATCTAATGTTTTAAATGTCAGAAAAGCTGTTTGTGTTATGGATTTATTAACAGAAGATAAACAGAAAAACGTCTCATTTTACAACACGAGTCAGCAGATTTGATCTTATTTAGCTCAATGTGATCTGAGCAGAACATAATGTAACAGTTTAAATTACAATAATCTGATGAAGTCCATGTAATCACTGTTATTTATTGAACTGGTTAGCAGAAATTAGCTTGTGGAGCATATATACAGCGTTTAGCTCTGTTGAATCATGTTAAATTTAACACAAACTATTAAATGTTACTTTGTCCTCTGATTAATATTTAGACCTACAGAGTGTAAAATAATATTATAAATGTCTGATTAATATTTAGACCTACAGAGTATAAAATAATATAAATGTGAGTATTTTTAGGTTTTTGTTAGAGGAACCTGACCTGTTAAGAAGATGTTAGCTAATAGAGACAAGTTTCATCCTATAACCAGAGAACATTTTCTAAGTGTTGACTGGTAAATATAAATATTATTTTTATGACAGTAAGAAGAAATAATAAATATACTTTATTACTGGCTGAAGTCATCATTTTTCAACTAGCTAAAGTCTAAGTTACAGGCTGACTTCAGGTCTGGTTTAGATCATTGCTACTTATAAAATTTTCTGGTAAAAAATCTGCTGTTTTACATGATTGTTGAATGAAATTAACATAATTATTAATTTATTGTAAAAACATGACAGATAATCTGTGAAACAGATCCAGTTCAGCTGCTGTTTATCTATTAGTTTCTATGGAGGCTGTGAGCTGTTGCCCTTTTATGTCCCTGTTTCTGCTCCTCCATGCTGTCACAGACGACACCAGTGGACGGTATGGGCCGGGCTCAGTCTAGTGATCTGTATTCAAGTCTATGATGTAAACAGAGACAGAGCTCTGGATGTAAACACAGCATATTGCTACCACGACACTAGTGCTCATCATCAGCCATCAGAGGAGACGTCGGCGTCTTATCGAGGCTTTCAAGCGACAAAACACAAAAGATCCTGAGCTGGTATAAGAGAGCGGCTGTTTTTAAGCCATCATTCAGAACCAGTCACGACTGCACTTTGCGACAGAATATATTTGTGTTAGCAATAGGCAGTATAAAACATGACCTTATCTGTTCATTAATAGCCTAGTTTTTGTGTGTTTTTCCCCTCATCACAAACTCTTTCTAAACTGTCTGTGCTGTACTGAAGCCTCTGCTCTTGCCTTGCTTCTCTCTCCTCTGAGCTTGAGACCTCCGTAAACGACCAGCCTTCAAAACTTGCACTTTTAATGTCTGTCTGCTCCAGAGGTGGACTGGAAAAGTCTACTGGGGATTACTCCGATGGGTCAAACACCTTCTTTCCAACATACCAACCAGCTGATCTGCTCATGCAGCCGTGGAGTGGACAGGGTGACGGGAAAACAAATATAAAAAAATTGTCTCTGTGGCGCTGAAAAACTCAGCCGTCATGAATCAGATTCGTCTTGTCTGTACTACTAGAGCCACGTTCAACTAATCTCTGGCAATAAAAAGACGCATGGTATGGTTCAAGGTTGACACCCCTGTCAATCACCAGGGGCGCCACAAGTGGGGTGGCCAAGAGGGACTGTGCCCCCACCCCACACCCAAATATTGGTGGCCCTGCCAGTTTTATTCTCGAGTCCCAAGCTTTTGCTTTGTGCTCATTTTAATTTCCCCTAGCTATTAGAAATATTCAATATAGATTAAAAAACTAAGAATTAAAGAAACATCCATCCATTATCTTTTACCCGCAGTTATTTTAAGATAATTGAGCCACTATTTTTTTCCTATTTTCTTCATATTTTCCTCTTCTGTGCTATTTCTGCATTTTAGCTGTTCACATAACAAAACAATGAGCTCATTATGGCTTTAACTTTTATATATTTTGAATATTCACAGCCAGGGTGGCATGGTGGCTCAGCTGGTAGAGCTGATGACTCTCAGAAAGTAGGTCAATGTGTCAAAGTTTTTAAAATGTATTTTGTTTGCTGATGACAGCGCTTTTTATTCTGGTGAAAATATTGAACAGATGTTGGAGGTGACAGAGACAGAATTTAGGAGGGCACAAATTTGGTTTCAACTTAATAAGTTATCATTGTGTAAGAAAAATGTAATTAAAAAAATAATTGGTAGACAGAATGTTTGTGCTGAAAACCAAGTTGATTCAAAACAAGACCCTCTCAGCAGCAGCCCTATGTCATCTTACCACCCCGGTCACACCCTGGGGGTGGTAGCTTTTACGTCAGCGTTGGAATGTCAACAATACTTTGTTTATGCTACAGAGGGGGACACATTGACAGAGACTTGCTGGCTCTCTGTTTAAAACAAATGACTGCAATTGATCGATCAGTAAATGCATAATCAAAGACTGTATCTAATTAGTTAATTAGTCACAAAATTTCCTTCAGTTGAATTATTTGGACAAAACAAATTTCATGATATTTGGTAACAGAAAGAAATCTATCAAAGTCCCATTCATTATTGATTACATTGAAATTTGCAGTCAGTGAAATAAAGGTTTTGGGTGCAGTGGCGGATCTAAAATTTTTCTGAATAAGGGGCCATCAAGGGGTCATAATATTCTTAGAGGGGCCAAGTATTTATTTAACATCTTTGTACACAAATCTCTGATTTTGAGATGTATACATTTAACCAGTCACACTTTTTCAAACACGTAATGTAATTTTAAAAATTTTGCATGTTAAAAATACATGTAAAACTTGTAAGGAGAATATTCTCCTTACAAGTTTTACACGAAATGTCATTAGATTTAAGAAGAACAAAATTTGAAATCAATTATTGGTTAAATTTACAAGGTAATAATTTTGATCATCCAACTCTGGAAATTTTAAATCCATGTTGGGAAAATGAGGAGTTTTGGATTGAAAAGAAATTAAAAGAATTTAAAATGAATAGTTTAGAAATTAGTCAAACAACACTAATATCAATTATACCACCTTGTATTCTACCAGAAGCAAGAGTAGATTTTTCAATAATGGAAAAGAAACAAGATAAATCATACATTGTAGATAGTTATTCAGTGTAATTATATTTAAATAATTATTATCAATACGTTCAAATCTATACAGATGCATCAAAAATAACAGGGAAAATAGGAATGGCATTTGTAGTACCAGAATTCAATATAAAACTAGACATAGGTTTTTACGATGTAAAAACAAGTGTGCATTGCCTTGTAGCATGTCTTTGCAGCATGGCTTTGCCTGCAGCATTGAACTTGCAGAATGAACTTAAAGTATGGAGCAGTACCAAGTTGAGTCCAGCATGGGGCAGTATTGGACCATTACAAGGCCCAATTGACTCCCATTATATGAATTTTGGAATAAAGTTTAAACATTAATATTTCAAAAACTACAAGTTGTACAGACACCAGAAGGCATAGCCATCATTTGGCACAGGACCTTTACAGATAGAAATTACAATGGCAGCTGTAGGACAAAGTATGCAGGAGGAGTAGTGTGGCGACGTGGAAGAAGACGGAATAAGTTGAATAATAATAATAAAGAGAAACAGGAAAACAATAGTGTGCATTGCATTGGCAATGCACATTGAATAGAAAAACAAATTACAGAGGGATTATCAGTATACACAGGAGAATTGTTGGCAATATTATTAGCTTTACAATGGGTAGAAGACATAAAACCATTAAAAACAATAATATGTTCAGATTCAAGTTCTGCATTAAGTTTAAAATGTAATCATTCAGATGAAGGAGGATGGACATTTTATTAGAAATATTTCATACATTACTCAGAATACAAAACATGGGTTTAATAATTATATTTGTGTGGGTTCCAGCACATATTGGGGTAGAAGGAAACGAGAGGGCAGATAAAATGGCAAAGAGGGCAATTCAAAATCCTTTTAGCTTTACAGTTAAAGCAAGTAAATCTGAAGGAAACAGTATTGTTAAAGAAAAACTGATGAAAGTATGGCAAAAAAGGTGGGATGAAGAAAAAACAAGAAGATGGTTTTATAAAATTCAGAAGAATGTAGGAGAAAGAAGAAATAGAAAGGAGGAAAGAGTGATAACAAGATTAAGATTTGGRCATACAGGACTTAATTATACACTTTTTAAAATTTAAAAGCACAATACTAGCAAACATGATCACTGTGAGAAATATGAAACAAGTTGCATGTTATATTAGAATGTCATAAATATGAAAAAGAGAGAAGATATATGAGTAGAGAGTTCGAAAGTATTAAGAAAAAGGTTAATTTATTAGATATTTTGAGGAAGAATTTGGGGAGTAAACATATGCAAACAATGATTCGATTTTTAAAGAAAACTAAATTATTTCATAGAATTTGATTATAGTATGTGTGTTTGTGAATGTGTACATCATATAGAAGGGTAGTATATAAAGTTGTGCACAAGTACGTATGTATATTCACGTGTGTGTGTTTAGGTAGAATTTATTTAGTTATTATTATTTTCTTTATGGTAGAAAATTTGTGTGTATAGACATAGATAAATAGATCGACCATCACAAACCAAATTCCACACCAGTAAGTGGCGGTAATGCTACTAAAAGTTTGTTGCCAACCGCCAGTAAAACCGAGGAGGAGGAGGAGGAGGAGAAGATGCGGAACCTTTTTTGTACGTTCTTGTTTCACATCGGTGCCGGATTTTTACAACAACAACAATCTCTTGAAGTGCAGCTGTTGTTTGCAGACTTATTTTAAGCTTTTGTTTTACATGTACATACATATCTGCAGGTGTGTTAAACGTTATGCTGATACAAAAATCTTTTAGGTTTATCTTACTACAATCATGACCGAAATAAATCAATTTTAGCTCCCACACGGACATTCTCCTTCGCTCGGACATCAGACAGAGGTACTTGAAACTTCACAATTTGGATCTAAAATTTAATTTATTCAACAAACAATTGCTCTTGATGTTAGCCGAATCATAGAATAATATCTATGTATTTAAATTTATTCTAAATGAACAGTAAATAATCTTGTTTATTTAAAAGCGAAACGAATAAGTATAAAAGTTGAGACAGTTCAAACCTAATCTGGTGTCTTGAGACGCCAAAACCAGCTCAGCTCTGTTTGTGTATAATAATTTACAAACTGGACGACTGTGTTGACATCAAACTGGAAGAAGATCAAGTCATAAACCAGGAGCTAAATTTTATTTATTTATTTATTTATTTATTTATTTAAGACTCACTTTTGTTCAATGACTTTTAATTAAAGTAAGACCTGTCATTGTTATTTATCTGTTCTTACTATTGTTGGTTGTAATTTATTATGTATTTTTAGCAATTAGGTTTTGTGATATTTGTGGATTGCTGTACAGCACTTTGGTGCAGCTATTAGCTGTTTTTAAAAGTGCTTTATAAATAAAGTTGACATTGACATTTTTTATTTTATTTTTTAGGCTATGATAAATGTTCTGACAAAGCAGTGTAATGAAACAAAGAGAACCAGCATAAATTAGCAAAGAAAATACCAAAGTGGAAGGCGTGGTTAGGTTAGGGAAGATTTTCCTGGAAATGATTCTGTTCCTGCATTAAAACCCAGACTTGTCTGAGTTTCTGTGGGAGAAGCTTTAAATTGAATAATGTGACAGAAAACAGGTTTTAGATTTACAGGAAGAGCTGAGGGGAGCTGCATGGTACTGCAGCGGTTTGTTCGATCACCTCACCTTCGTATGAAGTTAACATGTTTCCATCATGCATCTGAGAGTTTTCTCTGGGTTTCTTTGTAATGTCTTAATTTTGTCAGGAGAAACTCAGAGATTAAAAATCTTATTTATAAGAGTGTCCTGACCAAAACTATCAACAAAACACAACAAATTGTAACAATAACGGTAAACATTACAACCAAATAAACGAAAAAAATCTTCCTAAAATAGGATGCATCTGTACATGACCAAAATATATCAAATATTTGATGTTTGTTTCTTAAAATGTTAGAGAAGATTTTAAAATGTCCCTGGATCTGAATGTTCTAGGCTAGCTCAAAGCTAATAGTAACATAATGTTAACTAAAAACTGAAAGTGACAAAATGCTGCTTCTTTTACAAAAAAATCTAAAGATTAGCTAAAAGCTAATTGTCACAAAAGGCAATCTAAAAGCTAAAATTTGTGAAAGTTTATCTAAAATCACTAAAAGGCTAGCTCAAAGCTAGAAGCTAATTCCATCAAACAGATTTTCTTTGTAAATGAAGTTACTTTTTTGAAAATTCTAAAAGTTACAAAATCAAAAGTCACAACATCCATCTCCTAGATGAGCTGAACATTTTAATAACTGAATGGCTAAATTAGCACAAAGTCTGCAAAATGAGTTCGATGCAAAAAAAAGGCAGGAGAACAATGGCATGAATGCTGACTCAGCTCTCAGAGTATTGAATCAATATCAACAAGAAATAAATAAACCCAAATTGAAAATGAGATTAATAAGAAGCCTAGCATTGTTTGAAGGAATGCATATCACCCACCACATTTTGTGCTGAAGTTTCCAGACTCTGATTATCTTATGGTGACAGGAAGCTGTTCCACAATTTGTGTCTCCTAACTTATTAGTAACATGTTGAGGTCTGAGTCACAAGTTGTGTAACTCTGGAGTCAACCATATCAAATAAGTCCTTTTCCTCCTGACAGTATCTGTTTGCTGCTGTGATGGAGGCTGGTAGTGACCCTTCTGAGGAGCAGCTTCTCCAGCGCCCCTGGCTTCCTGTGAGCATTAGCGGCTGCCAACTCCTTGTGAAGAGCTGCTTCAGTGACACAGCGTACCGCATCCTGCTGACAGACATGCACTGTGTGTGGGAGGAGAGGATGGAGGCAGCAGCCATCCAGAGCCGAGCACAGGTTCCTGCAACACTCAACAGATAGACACAGACAAATGTGCTGGTACCCACTGGTGAAAAACAAAAACAAACAAAAAAACACAAAGGTCACTGAAACAACTTACAACTGACAAACTTTATAAAAATAACTTGGAGAGTGCACACCTCCGCCAAGACGCCAGGTAATGCAACTGAGTGTGTGTAAACACATTATGTAATAACTAGGGGTGCAACAATACATGTACCTGTATCGAACCGTGCTGTATCGAACAATACAGATTTAAAAATGTACTTTATCAACTTGTCTTCTGAAGATGCTCTGTGTTGAAGGATCAGTGGATCTGCAGTGTTTCCCCTACCATTATACAAGGGGGCGGGCCCCCAACAACGAGACAACCCGTCCCTCTAAGAATTTCATGGCATGTAGTCCTTTTTATTCAAATAAGTCCAGATCAAGTCCAGAGTTATTTTTTGCACCCCTCCATATCCACCTTTCGCCAAACTTGAGGAAAAAAGACGGTGCAGAGCGAGGCTGAGCGCTGTCTGTGGTCCTCACAAAGATAGGAAGACATGTGTGCGCGTGCGATGACTTTGCAAGCTACTTTTTCTTTCTTTAAAATAAAATGCAACAGGTGAAGCCACAGCATGGTTACCTTATCAATAATTTAGAATCAACACAGACTCCGCGTGCGACCAGGTTCCCGCGAGTCTGTTCATGTTCTATAAATAGTGCTGATCAGCAGTGCAGCTGTAATGTCCCTCAACTTTGAAA